GGGAATGCTATGGACTGGAGAAACTCCAAAATCTGAATCACTTAAGGAGACTATGGAGTCTTACTTCAATGCTCTTCAGGGCTTTTTGCTTTGTTGCCATGGAAGCACAGTTGGTGCTGGGTCTACACTTTCTTCAATCATACATCTCTCTGTTAAGCAAATCGTTGATTCCAGCTTCAGATTGTTGCAGGGTTCTGTCTCTTTATACGGTAAATACGTTTCTATTCTTCTGGCTTGTTCTTATTCAAAAGACAAAATCTTAGATGGAATGTTCTATGTCCCTACTCTAGTAATGTTAATACTTATCTTCCGTTGCTCGACACGATTATAACATTATATCATTTCAGCTGTTATCGCCAACAATCTTTCGATCTTGTCAACTTGTTTTCGTTGGGTAGTGTAGCAATAGTTCGAGTTTCTTTCAACATACTTCTAGTGAGTGCTTAAATTCAGCTGTAATTGCTAACAATCTTTCCATGTATTATCTTTAAAACTCGTTTTTGAGTTGCTTTCAACATACTTGTACTGAGTGTGCCGGTGTTTTTTTTGTATCTGTTAACTAGAGGGATCATATGGAAAGGACAAGAAGCCGTCTATTCCGCAGCTTTCAGGAGCAGTTTGGGAGGCGTGTTCGGGTTTCAAGAAGGTTCCTGCAAGTAATATCATCGCGATTGGCAGGGGTATTACACAGGTTGCGGTGTCTATGAAGGATGTTCTTAGGGAGATGAAAGAAGTGAAGCCAGCTTGTCCTTCACCTGAGAGTGAGGCATCTGGTGATAATAACTCTGATGACGATGACGATTTAGGCAATGATTTGTCTCCTGAAGAAATGGAAGTGGCTCAAATGGTTGCTGAGATTGTGCCTGATACGATCACGGTGATAAAAGAACTAATCCGAGTTATCACCGGGATGATCAAATTGGAGAATCCAAAGGATAATAGCGGGTTTGTAGACTCGCTAGAGAAGCTACTCAAGCTGTGTCAAGGAACTGGAGTACAAATCGACGAGCTTGGAGCTTGCGTCTATCCTCCGCAGGAGCTAAACAAGATGAAGCAAACGGTAAAGATAATACAGGGAAATCTCGATGAAGTTGAGTCCGAAGTTAACCGTTTAAAGAATTCTTCAGACGCCTTTTCGGGAGCTTGCAGAAAGCTGCGAAATTCGATGATACACATGGACACTGAATTAGAGAAAAGATGTGAAGCTGAAGTAATTGTTGAAATGCAAAATGTTACTCTTGGCAGTTAGAAAAGTTTGGATTTTTACAATGTTTCATTTTTTGTTTGTCTTTCAGGAAAGTCGTGGACTTTTGATTCTGTCGGAAATTGGCTTATTTAACTAAAATTCATGTAATATGTAGTATTGTTCAATGTGTTTCATATACAATTCCTAAATTTCGTAGATATGTAACTTAAGATTTCGTTTTTGGAAATGAGATTTTGTCATATGAGAATAGATTTGCACATTTCATAGACATGATCATGTGAGTGTAGCTAATTCCGTGAGACTTTTAGTGACAAGGACAAGTAGGTAATAGCCAATGAGAATGTTTTTACAAACCGAATCCGATGG